GAACAAAGTTTGTATTGAACGTTGCTAGTTTAAGATCATGTACATCCACTCTCTTCCTTTCTTTGATTATTTCGTTGCTGAAGCCAGCAAGGTGATTTCGGATTTTTTCACCGTAATTATCGAAAGCAATCTTGAAATCTAACTTTATTTGCGATATAACTTCATCCACATATTGTTTGTTTGCAACATCAGCGGCATCTGTTGGCAGTTTTACGTTACTCATCTTCAAATGACCAACATCAATATCACCGGTTGGAGTATGTGAAAATCCAGATCTGACTGTCACCATCTGAGCTGAGCGTGGAAACGAACCACGTCCGAATTTGTCGAGACTCATTATGCTAATGACTAAAGTATTGTACGTTATCGATAATGGTCGGCACTTTGCCTCGCCAATTATTAGCCCCTTCACTCATAGACATGCCATGAAAGTGTCACGGAACTGTCAAGGAAGTGTCACGGAACTGTCACGGAAGTGTCAAGGAAGTGTCACGGAACTGTCACGGAACTGTCACTGAAGTGTCAAGGAAGTGTCACGGAACTGTCACGGAAGTTGTCATGGAAGTGTCACGGAAGTATCACAGAAATGTCACACATGTTTTATTATGCCTGCCTCTTCTAATTCGTTCAAGATGGCAACAATCTCGTTATCGTTTGATGTATTTCCGGCTTGCTGTGATGCAATGAGCAACTTCAATCTATCTACCAATTCGTTTGGATCATCCCAATACATGTATTCGATAGGTGCTGTGCTGTATGTCAACTTCAAACCACGACCACTGGAATTGGATCTGAACATTGGACGAATAATTTCTACGTATTTGAGTCTAGAGGAAGACTTCATACGTCCTGCAGAATTCAGATGAGCTTTGGTGAGCAAGAGTATTTGCTTGTATGGGTTCGTATCATCTTTGGCAAAGGATGGATCATTATAGAAGAGTAATTGATAGAGGCCTGGGGTGCCACGGAACCGAAAGCCATCAAGAAGTATATCTCCAGTTCTTCGATGGAAATTCATTTCTTTTCCGTTGAGAGACCATTTCGATGTTACTGGATCATATTTGGGACCATAAACCGTATCGATATTTTCATCATTTGTCCAGTATTCAGTCAGATATTTTTGAGCCATCGCAGGATACTGATCAACGTAATCATGTATTGCAGCCGGTGAGATATTTTCACTATCTACAAAAAGTTCATCATCAGCATCGTCATAACCATCCTCATCATCATCTTCAGTATGCCCAGCATTATCAGCCACATCCATCATAGGTATGAAATTAGTTTGATTCAAATCCGATTGCTCCCTCTCCACCTCCCCATCCTCTTCCTCCTTCTTCTCCTTCTTCAACCCCAACGATTTTGCTCTGCTTCGCTTGATGTTTGAAAGTGTTCCATCGAGTTTTTCTTCTATGACCTTGGACGCGGAGGCAATTTGTTTCAATGGTGATGTCAGTGGTTGGAATATTTTCTGTAACGCATCATCATCCTCAGACTTGCCCAATTTTAGTGCTAAATATTTTCTTCTGATTGATTTCGATAGTTCGTTGATTTTTTTCTTGCGCAGCGCATCAGCAACATCATCATGCATCTTGGTTGACGTCATCTAGATGAATGGTCCAGAGATCACAGTCTTATGAACTTATCGAAACCATTTCTTTATCTACCAGCATTCATATCGAAAGTTTTTGCAATCACCATCGCACCATATTGGTTGGAATTCCAACACTCTGAGCACAATGCTTTAAATTGATCGAATGACATGTCTGGTGAGACATGCTCGTCGAACACATGCTTCAAATTCATTTCATCCTGTCGAAATAACACCAACAGGTTACTGTTGTCTCGCACCAGCTGCTTCGGTATCTTAGAAAAAGTCTGGCAAAGGTATGTTACGTCAATATCCTTGTGTCTACACATTGAAAAATATTCTCGAATTTTTTGCTGCTTGTCGCATGATACATCATCAAAAATGAATATCGAATGATTTTTCGCTTCTGATGGACTGATGACATCATCATTTTCTTTAAAGGGAAAATACCCAACACCTTTCACTGAATCCAACACTTGTTGCAGCAATTGATATTTCGGTTGGTACAACGACTTTGAATACACGTAAACGTTCTCGAATTTCGCGCCATTTGGATTGAACAGCAGGGAAAGCATCGCATTGGTCTTTCCACATCTGCTTGGTCCGCAGAAGATTGCTCTGAACGAATGGGGAAGCAGTTTCCCATGTTTACTATTTACTGGTGGTTTGGTTGACAAAATTTCATCCAAATTCACAATGGGTAACATCCGTTCTTGTTGAATGATCTTCATCATGTGATGATATATTTTTCATTTCATTAGGTATATGCAGAGTTGTCGAACTTCCTACTTATCAGTCTTCATGTTGCTCTACCACGGAGAGGGTGTGCTTAATTCTCTGATCGATAAACTTCCCATCGAATTACACATTCCAGGCTACAGATTTTGTGGTCCAGGTACCAAACTCGATAAAAGACTTGCAAGAGGAGACACCGGTATCAATCCGTTGGACGACGCGTGTCGAGAACACGATATCGCCTATTCACAAAATTCCTCAATAGAAGACAGGCACAAAGCTGATTGGATATTGGAAAATAGAGCGTGGGAGAGAGTCAAGTCGAAGAACGCTAAATTCAAAGAGAAGGCTGCTGCTTGGCTTGTCACCACCGGAATGAAGGTCAAACGAAAACTTGGCATGGGTCTTGTATCACAGCAATCCATATCCAACATTATCAAATTCATAAAAAATGTACTATCAAAGTCAGATGGTGGTGGTAGTACAACATCAGGAAGTGGTCTGAATAAATCTGCATTGAAAGCACTCCATGCAGCCAGAATGGCAGTCAAGAGGGCTGGCGGTAAAAAAAGAATCAGAGTACCAAGAATCATACCTCTTCCACACAGTGGCGGTATACTACCATTGATACCAATCTTTGCCGCCTTGGGAGCCCTAGGATCTCTAGCTGGAGGAGCCGGAGCAGTCGCAAAGACAGTCATTGATGCGAAAAATGCAAAGAAAAAGCTCGAAGAAGATCAAAGACATAATAAAGCAATGGAGGCTATCGGCAAGCAGGGTTCCGGCCTATTTCTACGCAAAACATCGAGAGGATTCGGACTGTACTTGAAGAAACAATCAAAAAACTCAAAAAACTTCTAGACAAGCTACCCAATAAATCAATGTACGATAAAGATGTGATAAAGTATGCCAAACAGCTGAAAATACCATATTTTCGAGGTGTTTTTATGCGGGACACTCTACCTTCCACCGGTCCATGGCATCGCGAGTGTGCTGTATTGAATTTGGATACCTCCAATCATGCGGGCACTCATTGGGTGGCTTACATTAAAAATGATAAAAAAGCCTTATATTTCGATAGTTATGGTAATCTGAAACCGCCCAGAGAATTGGCGCAATATTTGGGTGCCAGCACGAAAATCTTGTACAATAACAATCAATACCAGAATTTCAATCAAAGTAATTGTGGACGTCTATGTTTAGAATTCCTTTTTAATGAGACCAAGTAACTCGGTCATTGTGCATCAGTCATGTCTCTGATTGTGACGTTGAAAGGTCGTACATCTACGCTCTCCATAGACTTTTTGACACCACTCCAACTCGATCCAGACTCTGATTACGGACTAGCATTGTTGGGATTCCATTCATACAACAGTATACCGAATATCGACAAAGGATCAAAGTTTTATCTGCAAGATAAGACCAAGGCGGGAAAGATCATCGATATTCCCGAAGGTTCATACGACATTGTGGACATTGAGAAATTCATACGCAAAGAATTGGGCATCTCAAGTGCAAAGGACGTTGATGATATATTCTCGTTGAAGCCCAACAATAATACACTAGAGTGTGAGATTTCGAGCAAACAGTTTGCCATTGATTTTCGCCCGAAGGATAGCATAGCTCAAGTCTTGGGATTTTCAAATAGATTGTTGAACGCACAACAAGTCCACACTTCCGATTTGCCGGTCAGCATAACCAAAGTGAGAACCATTCACATTGATAGCAACGTTACTGCTGGAGCTCTCTACAACGACAGACCATCACATACGATCTACGAGTTTGCAGTTGCAGTCGATCCTGGTTACGCCATAGACGAGACTCCCAGAAATCTAATCTATCTACCTATAGTCAGCAGGCGGGAATTGCCCAACATTACACTCCAGATTCTAGACCAAGATTTCAGGCAGGTGAATTTTAGAGGTGAAGAAATCATCATAAGATTGGAATTGAAGAAACTCGCAAGATGGTACTAGTGTTAGATTACTCCTATAAATCAGATAATATACCATCATCAGCAACATCATCGGCACCAGTTCTCTCGACACCGTACACCAAAGCAGTCGTGTCTTCGAAGAGCAGCAGCAACAGAAAAACATTGACATTATCCAGTGTGCTGTTTCTGAAATCACTCAAAGACTACAATGTTGTTAGCACCCGTGTTCGACGTTTTCCGCAAACCCAGACTCGACGAAAGCATCACTAAAGTGGAATGGCGTACCTATTATCCATATGTGAAATCATTCGAGAACAATGATGTCATCGATATAACGGTTAATCAAGCAGATTCGTGGTTGGCCATGTTTGAAGGCATCATTATCATCAAGGGTAAATTGAAGGTGACCGGTGGTGGTACTGGTACATTAACCCACAATGCTGGAGCCTATCTCTTTGATTCCTGCACCTATGAATTGTGTAATAAAGAATTGGACACTGTCAGATATCCTGGTATAACGAGTACTGTGCGAGGATACTTGTGTTATACGCCTGAAGACTCACGTCATCTAGCCATAGCAGGCTGGAACTATCCCAATGCTCCGATCCTCAACACCGATGGTACGTTTAGCATGAACATTCCACTGAAACATTTGTTTTCCATCTTCAATGATCATCAAGTGGCAACGTGGGGCAAGCAGTCAATACGTTTAGTGAGAGCTCGCAATGATGCCAACAGTGTGAAGGTTGTCGAGAGAGCGAATACTGCTTTGCAAGGATCTCCTCAGACTCAAAGTATTGCTAAGATAACGATAGAAAGCATCAATTTGAAAGTGCCACATCTCACACCCAACGATGACATAAAGTTGCAGTTGTTGACACGTATCAAAGCAGATGAGTCTATGATGATACCGTTTCGCCGATGGGAATTGCACGAGCTACCAGCACTCACACAAGGATCTACCATAGAAATCTGGTCCGTCAAGACATGTTCTGCATTGGACAGTCCAAGATATGTTATAGTATTTTTCCAAACGAAAAAAGCCGATAATTTGCATGAAGACGTCACCTTGTTCGATAATGCCAACATCAAATCCATACGATTGGCTCTGAATAGCGACTATTATCCGCAAGAACGAATGCTATTGGACTTTTCCCGAGACCAATATGCTGACGCCCACTTCAACTATACAGAGTTCAACAAGAGCTACCATAACTGTCAAGAAAAGCGCTCTCTAGTAAACTTTGCCGAATTCAAATCCCGACCAATGTTTGTTATCGATTGCTCGAGGCGCCATCTGGGTCTAAAGTCGTCCACAGTTGACATAAAGTTGGACATTGAAGCGACTACAGGCTTCCCTCCCGACACCAAAGCCTATTGCATCATCATTCACGATCAAATCATGGAACATCTCCCACTCAGCGAAATTGTTCGAAATATTGCTTAGGTGGGTGTTGCTGCATCAGTCAGACGTCAGTTTGCTTCGAAGAGTCATGGAGATCGCACTGGTTGACATTCAAGGGTTCATGGTTGATGGCGAATTCATTCCAAAGGAAATGACCATTCGCATTGGCAAAAAGACGAGTCATTTTCTATTCAAGCCATCTGTAGAATTTTCGAGTTTGAGCAGAGAAGATAAAAAGATGGCAAATCATGTGGAGCGTTACGTTCATGGTTTAAAATATTCCAGTGGTTATGTGGATTTGAATGAGTTGGATCAAATACTACGAGATAACCTGCAGCAAACAAATATCATCTACGTTAGAGGACACCAAAAGATTCAGTTCTTGCAGCGAAAATGTGCAGAGTTGGAGATGACCAATCACATTGTTAATTTGGAAGATTTTGACAATTCTTGGTGGCAACCAATGACGTTTCAACAATCCATTCCACCTTGCATGAATCATTTCCATGGAGGAAGGTTCCAGTGCAGTCTCCACAATGTCGATACTTTATATAATTGGTTATGTAATTTATTGCCAAAATAAAAAACTATATATCGTAATTTCAGAGTTTTTATTCATCACATCCCTTATTTCTCAGTATAATGAAAATAACATGTGAGATTAAAATGAGTGAACATATTAGTGTACAACAAAGTGTCAAAATTGCAATGATATTGACCGAATCTTGATCATCATCTAATTTTGCGGGGGATTTCTTCAATGTAAATGTCTGCCAGTCTCCCATTTCGCCGTCACTGCCATCAGAAAACGATAATTTCAATTTGTACTCGATGGTGGTCCCATTGACTCGAGGCATGTCGATTGAATATACAGGTAGTTTGTTATCATTGACATACATTCTACTCATCAGCTTCCAATCACACTGTTGTGTACGATTCACATCAAAACATACGGCTGCATTCCTCGTATTGTACGGTATGTTTGTGTAGAAGACGTTGTTGCTCAGAGCTGTCAATAGAATGAAGCTTGCTTTCAGTATCGCCATCTAGTAGCTGTGTTGGTTGGATTCTTCTCGATGTAGGTGCAACTGAACGTCTCGGTTCTGTGAACACCTTGTCCCAAACACTCAATTGCTCGAAATCTTTGAACAAACAAACTTTCTGCTCATACAATTGGATGTCTGCACTGAGCTTTCTAACTTTCAACCCAAATTCTTCTAGTGCACGTCTGTATTCGTCAGAAGACATGATACAACTGTTTTTTACATCCATACTTTTAACCCACATCTTATTACATCTCTTTCCCTCTCTCTTCTTCTCACTTTTTTACCTTCTCACTCTCTCTTACACTCACTACCCATCCCAATGATACACAGAAAATTTCAGAGATTTCGCATTTGGAGATCTTGGAAACACTTCCTATGATGAACTTAGTCGTTTTGTTCAGATGTTTTCTAAGAATTAGTGAGTGTGGCATCGCTCACCATGCGCATGCCCTAATAACACAATAACATCAGTAAGACGTCGTAGAACCATCCATATGGGATGATAGGAACAACTCTGGAAAATCCCTATTTTCCTTGGGACATTCTTGTCAGCATTTGCGATGTCTTATAAACATCCCATCAGAATGTTTGTGGGATGATACGGGATGTACCAGAGACATTCAGGGTACTTGATATGGAACATCTTGAAGAAACTTTCAGGATGTTTTTTATTTGATGACAGTGATGGATGACACGGTATGAATTATCTTCATTCTGAAATCCTGAGAATGACCGACCTATTTGCAGATATAAGGTGACAATTCGAATCCGAAAATATATAAGTTCGGTGCAGTGCAATAACCAATGGAAGATGATAGCAGTTGTTTGAGGCTCATATTTGTTGGCGATCGGCCGACGGCTGTTAGTAACTCTTAGCAACGTAGTTGTACCGCCATCTATCGGCTGGTATAACAAATAAATTCAGCAATGAATATGCTGAAGAGATATATTTAAATTTTGTCGTTTATTACATGGTTCATGAAGTTAAGCAGGTTCTTTGGTAATCTTATTGAGGAATATTTAGTATAATCATTCCAATTTGTTATCGATGAAATTAGCCGCCGGCTTTGGTATAGGAATAAGTACGAATACAGTTTTGATTGAATTTTAGGTGTTTTTTCCTAGGAGAACACCCTATTCAATTATCAGCCCAATGTATTCTAGTTAGGTATGATATAAATCGATTTTTCTACAAAAATTGCCACATAAACATACACCATGTTCCAATATCGAATTTCATGAAATGACAGACTATTAGTTGTGAGAAAATCAGCAAGCTGAAGAGTTTTGCTGTAGACATAGAAAACGCGTAGTATATAACTCACACAGAATGCTCGTATGATTTAACTTATGCAACATACTTGAGTGCTTTCATTCACTCTGCACGATAAAAGACAAGTGTCCGACTACTGGCAAAGAAGAACACAACTTGTTGCTTCTTTTTGGCTTATTGATAATATGATCTATTGAGCATTTCTTTCATGCATCACATAATATGATTCTTTTGTAAAACTCAGTCCACTGTCCGACTATACTGACTGATTCACCCTATACATTGAGAGGCTTAATATGAAAAATAGTCTTCATGTGTGCATATTATATTCAAGCATTGTTATGCATTTTATCTGCCACTGAATCCGCCGAATATTTCAAAATCTGATACTCTTACAATAGATGAACTATAGACAACAATTAACGAGTTAGTGTAAAGGACATACACGGGTTCTCTTATCGTTTTTTCACGAAATCAACGAACTACCGAAATCAAACAGCTGTTCAAGTTGGAGCGTTCAAACAGGATGCCGTTATCTTGGTTGTTCTATATTTGGCGTATACAGAAAATCATATTCTTTCAAAGCCTAGAAAGATGATTAAATCAGCTGAGTTATAGACTAAAATTAACGGATAATAAAGGAAATAATCCTATTATTATTGATTCTCTTATCGTTCCATATGAGATACAAGATACAAGGAACTATCGAAATCACACAAAAAAACAGCTGTTCAAGCTGAAACAAGAGCTGTTTTTAGTCCTAGACCTAATATTCAATATCCCACACTAAAAAATATTTTTGCTATACAGGGCGGGTCAGCAAGAAATGTCGCTACCTCGTTTTTCATTTTTGTGACTCTTAGAGTGATTATCATCGTAAAAATGTCAGTCGACCAAAGACAGTCAGCAAGTCAACCAAGTTTATGATTTCATCACACTACCTACCAGTCATTATACAGGGTTTTTAAATATATATTTTTGTATGCCAAGTTGAGTAGTCATTGTGAGTCTACTCGCCTACCAGGTGTTGAATAAAAACGGATAATTTTGACATCATTTATTTTTTAGATATTATACCAACATTTTCAAGTTCAGTAAGAATAAAGGCAATCTCGTTGTTGTTCTTATCTGATTCCATTAAATATCTCAGTCTATCCACCAAGATATTCGGATCTGTCCATTCATCTAAAATATTGTACTCTTCATTCCCAATACTGGCTTCAGGCTCCACGCTCGACTTTGGACGTTTAGGCTTGGTCTTATTTTTGAAGAGGGGTCTGATAATTTTATCGAATTTCTCCTTATCAGCTTGTCCTCGTAATCGCCCTACTCGATCTCTATGAATAGAGCTGATTTCCAGTATCTGTTTATACATCTGGTGATCCAGAGGCGTGTAATTTCGAGGGTTCTTGGAAAATAATAATTCCAAAAGACCCAGAGTACTTTTAAAATCGACATTATCTACGCCTATGTATTGGTCCTCAAAGCGTAGATTCTTATGTCCAAGTGTCCATCTGCCGTCAACATATTTCGGTCCATAAGCATTATCATAATCTGCACAGTGATATTTATCTAATGCTTGCTCTGATGAATGTGGCTCCATGATGTGAACGCTATGGTGTCTGATATACAACTGAAGACTCTTGAATACATCTGAAGACATCTGAAGACTTCTGAAGACATCTGAATACATCTGAATACCTCTGAAGGCGCGATCTGAAGACTTCTGAAGACATCTGAAGACTTCTGAATACCTCTGAAGGCGTGATCTGAAGACTTCTGAAGACATCCGAATACCTCTGAATACTTCTATAGGTGTGATCTGAAGACTTCTGAATCCATTAACTGCCATCCGCTAATCAGCTAGGTTATTCGAATTGGTGGCGTCCACTCTATGGGCATTCCTCATATGGTGGTATAGGTTAGTTTTATTCAAGAATTTCCCACATTTCTCACACAATAGCTGATGTCTATTATAGGTGAATTTTCTCTTTTTAAAACTTTCCCAGGTGTAATTGATGTTAAATGGAATCCGCTCTCCACTATTGAGGCATTCTATTATAAAACAATTATTACAAAGTTCTCGTACAGTACACAGCTGATGACAGCGCTCACAAATATTAGCCATGACTACTCTATAAGAGAATATATAGTTGCTTTCGTATCCTTCCACTCCCTACATACATCATATTGCAAACACCATCTGTCATACGTCATATGTCATGTATTACGCGACATCAGATATTTTTTGAAAATCTGACAACACCTTATCGACTTCATAAATAATAATTTCCAACGTCTGGCAACAATGTGACGGTTATCGCAAATATTTCACCATAAATTTATTTCGATGTGATACTTGTGTGTCTTATCTCTAGAACGCATCTCTCGCTTTGCTCTACCTCTACAGATCCGTTGCAAAAATAACCGCGCGCCAGCGATGGATATTATTTTCGACTCGATGAAATCTCCTGCAATGGCTTTGGTGAAATTCACTGAACAAGAATTGCAGTACATTCCAGTAGAATGTCTCATTGAATATGCAGATCCTTATGGGCTATTAAGGGTGTGGCACAAACTTCCTCAAGAATATCGCAGCAACTTTAACCTACAAATCAAACTGCCATGCTTCGTTCATTATAATCGTCCCGATTGGACCACACACTGGGATGGACCGCCATCTTCTCAAGAGGCATGTCATTTTTGTAGAAAAGGATTACTTAAATAAATAGATTATTTATCTTTGTTTTCGTATTCTTTCACCCCCATGGACCGCCCTGTATATATTTGTTTCAATCTTCATCAACTCAAACACCCTGTATATATTTCTTTCAACTCAAACACTTCTTCCATGCTAAAACATGGGACCGCGAACCGTGGGACACTCTGTATATATTTTTTTTCAATTTTCAATCAACTCAAACGCCCTGTATATGAAAATTCAATCTTGTTATTGTCATTAAAGTCACAGTTTGAGGAATGGGTATACGAGCGCGCGCTTATCATTCTAAGGGATCTCTCGCTTTGCTAGAACTTCGAACGCCATGAAGGTAACGGCATGACGTCACCCACTTTAAAATAAATAAATAATCCAAGTATTCGTTTCCAATACGAGCGCGCGCTTATCATTCTAAGGGATCTCTCGCTTCACTGGATCTTCGAACGCCATGAAGCGAGACAGCGTTGCCACACACAATAATGTAACAATATTAACATCCAAACACATACGTCCGACAACGTTGCAGCACCGCGCGCTCGAGCCGCCTTACTCTCTACCTCGATAGATCCGTTGCAAAGATAAGCGCGCGCGCCAGCGATGGATATTATTTTCAACTCGAAGTTTCTTATCTCTGGAATGCATCTCTCGCTTCACTGTACCTCGATAGATCCGTTGCAAAGATAAGCGCGCGCGCGCCTGCGATGGATATTATTTTCGACTCGAAGTTTCTTATCTCTGGAATGCATCTCTCGCTTCACTCTACCTCGATGGATCCGTTGCAAAGATAAGCGCGCGCGCGCGCCAGCTATGGATATCCCGTTTGAATAGCATTTAAATAATTGAAATATCACGGAGGTCGGAATACCGCAGTGCGTATATACGCTGCCTCATAATGCAAAGGTCCCTGGTTCAATTTCCCCCACCGGCGGTGACAGCTTTTTTTAATTTATTTATTTAAAAATTCATCATGATTAAGATGTCATAACCTCACAATTTCAAATTTACCGCCATCAGCGCCGCCGCCATCTGCAAATTTGAACTTCGCGCCACCAGCGACACCAGCGACACCAGCGCCAACGCTAACTAGCGGCATTTTATTGAAGCTCTGACGATCAATCGGCTTTGTATCACTACTACAGTGTAAAAGTTCCCTGCGAGTCTTGTAAAAGATCTTTCCGTGGACAAGGTTGTTTTGATAACCATATTCAGAACGGTGTTTGTAGTAAGATTAGACGTTGTGAGTTATGTTTCAAAATTGTCCCTACCAATAGAACTCACACCTGCGGAGAGATCTTTTGCAAGATTTGCAACAAACACCAACCTTCTGGACATTTATGCTATATTCAGCCCGACACGAAAGTACCCAAGACTGATGATCTCTTGTTTGTCTTCTATGATCTGGAGACTCGTCAGGAGAGGGTACAAGCCGACGGATCTCTTCTTCATGAGCCCAATCTGTGTGTCTTTCGTCAATGCTGTGATGTTTGCATCGATACCACACAGCAAATTTGTTCGAAATGCGGGGTTCGTTTGCAAATTCTCAAGTGTAACGACCCCATATCTCCATTTGTTCATCATGTATTGACAATAAGGAAGAAATTCAAAAATGTCATCGTTATAGCGCACAACGGCGGAAAATTTGACCACGCCTTCATTTTGAATTATATCTTGACCAAAACTACTCTGAAACCCGATCTCATTATGAGAGGTAGCGGGTTAATTTCCATGACTGTTGGAAATGTCAAGTTTTTGGACTCTCTCAATTACTTCCCAATGGCCTTGGCAAAACTGCCTAAATCTTTCGGGTTCTCTGAATTGAAGAAGGGATATTTCCCTCACCTTTTCAATCGTATGGAGAATCAGAATTACAAGGGCCCTATCCCAGCTCTACAGTTCTACACCCCAGACAATCTCACTTCAGATGCTCGCGCATCTCTCATAAAATGGCATGCTGAAAGAGTCGATGAAAACTATGTTTTCGATTTCTCTCGAGAAATCATAGACTATTGCATTTCTGATGTAGATATTCTGACCAAGGCCTGTTTGAAATTTCGACAGCTCATGTTGTCTGAAACTAATGTATGTCCGTTCACTGAAGCAGTAACGATCGCTTCGACATGCAATAAGGTTTTCCGTAGAAATTTTCTCAAACCAAACACCATAGGTATTATTCCCAAGGGTGGTTACAGACATCGTGATAATCAATCTGTGATAGCCACCCAGTGGTTAATTTGGGAGGAGAAACTACGGGATATAAAAATCCAACAGGCCTGCCGATCTTCAGAGGCCCATATAGGTAATCTCAAAGTTGATGGCTATTCAGCGGAAACAAAACAAGTTTTCGAGTTTCAAGGCTGTTTCTATCACGGTTGTCCCCGCTGCTATACTGATCAGAGAGATATCCCTCTCAGAAACTGCCCTTCCGAAACTATGAACCATCGTTATGACACGACCATTGCAAAAATCAATAAAATCAAATCCTTAGGGTATGAGGTTATTGAAAAATGGGAGTGTGATTTTCGCAGGGAACTTTCCAGCGGTGACGAACTTTGCAACTTTGTCACCAATCATCCCCTGCTTAAAAATCTACCCCTCGATCCTCGAGATGCTTTCTATGGTGGCCGAACGGGAAATATTGTCGAATATTACAAGGCCGGGGATGGTGAACAAATTAAATACGTTGACGTTTGTTCGCTCTACCCATGGGTGTGTAAATATGGCAAATTTCCTGTGGGTCATCCGAAAGTACTCGTTGGTGAGGAGGCTTCTACTGTGTCACTTTCCTCTATCTCTGGACTCGTTAAATGTGCGATTCTCCCACCTCAAGATCTTTTTCATCCTGTTTTACCACAGAAAATGAACAGCAAGTTGATGTTTGTTCTTTGTCGTGTATGTGGTGAAAACTATTATACTAGTAGTTGTCATCACACTGATGAAGAGCGTACATTAACAGGAACATGGACTGTTGAAGAGATATTAAAAGCCCTTGAGGTGGGCTATCGAATTATCGAGATCAAAGAGATTTGGTCTTATGATACTGTGCAATTTGGTGAGGACGTTTCTGGTCTATTCACAGACATGATGAATAAATTCATCAAGGTGAAACAGGAGTCATCAGATTGGCCAAAGCATTGTAAGACCAAAGAGGAAAAAGAGAGGTATATTGATGAGTTTTTACAGCGGGAGGATGTTTTGCTGGAATTTTCTAAAATCATCGATAATCCCGGGTTGAGAGCACTGGCCAAGCTTATGCTAAATTCCTTCTGGGGTAAGTTTGGTCAGCGTGAAAACCAACCGAAAACTTCAATCATCAATCAGCCCTCGGAATTCTTTTCTATGATGACGGATCCTTCGCTTATTGTCAATACAGTACTCCCGATAAACGAGGATACCCTCATTGTTAATTGGGAGTATAAGGAGGAGAGCTATGACACTCTTTCCACAGTCAATGTTGTAATTGCTGCATATGTAACAGCCTTAGCTCGGTTGAAACTTTACAGCTATTTACAGCAGCTTGGGGAAAGGGTGTTATACTATGACACGGACTCTGTTATCTATGTTTCCAAGCCAGAGGAATTTGACATTCCTACTGGTCAATTTATTGGTGATATGACCGACGAAATGGAATGTTACGGTCCTGGTTCCCATATTACAGAGTTTGTATCTGGTGGCCCGAAAAATTATGCCTATAAGCTATGGTCAACCAAGGAACAAGAGTTCAAAGTTGTTTGTAAAGTTAAAGGCCTCTCCCTTAACTATGCTGCTTCACAGCTTGTGAATTTTGAATCAATTAAAGATATGATTCTGAACCCTGGTCCCCCTGTCGAAATTTTGAGCAAACAGTTCCGTCGAACCAAGGAACATGAGGTCATCACAGTTGATGTAACCAAAAAGTACAAGCCTGTAAGTTTGAAGCGGAAATTTCTCGAAGATCACACTTCTGTACCTTACGGTTTCAAAAAGCGGAAATCATTATAATATTTCAAATCACAGCATCGTCATTCTTTCTTATTTATCAGAC